TTTTGCACCAAGTTGTACTTTTCTGCATCAATTATTGGTGAAAGTGTCTTTATTTCTGTAAAGGAAAACAAAATCCAGACAGGAGGTGCAGCTTCTAAATAAAATGGGATATACGTGGGTTTAAATAAGTTTTCTGCAATAGATTCAGTGGTTGTTTGAGCTTATAATTTATATTAGATAAACGACTGCTGAAGAAAAAAAAGACTTGTGCTTGTATGTGGCATTGATGCACCTAATAAAAATATGCATGGTTTAACTATTACCGTAAATTCCGGACTATAAGCCGCTACGTTTGAACGCTGGAGCTTAAACAATGATGCAGCTAATTTATGGATTTTTACGATTTTTATGAATTTGCTTCGAGATGAAAATGACATTGAGAGTGACAACGAAAGAGAGACTGAGGAAGTGTGTGATGAAGTAGTGACACTGAAGAAGATGACTTTAGTGGTTTTAGTGCACAGGAGGAAGATGAAGATAGCGATCAATGACTTTTCCTGGTAGGCTGCTGTATTTGTAATTTTTTTAACCAGTCGTGTTACAGGCACCGTTTGGAAAAAAGCATTTGTAAATATCTCGTGTTACAACGTGGACACCTGCAGCTTATAGACAAGTGCGGCCTGTATATGAACAAAACTATTTTTCTTTTTAAAGTTAGTGGGTGCGGCTAATATTCAGGTGCTCTCTATAGTCCAGAAATCACGGTCATTGGATGTATCTCCACTTGAAATCTACGTCTTTGCGACTTGCTGCATTTTTCTGAATGTCACGTGCAACGTAGAACCCAAGAATACCCACTGATATATTTATTTTCTAATATTCTTATTACATAAAAACTCTTTGTCGTACATACGTTTTTATAAAAAAAGAACAGAATCTGGTACAAAAAATATTTCTTTGGGATGTGTATGAGGACCACAAAATGGCAACGAGGAAGAAATCTACAGTTTACAAAGGTGTCAACTGCGAAACAAAAATACAGCGTGGAGGATATTTCATGAGTTTGCTACATGCTCTTTCTGTTGTTGTACGTCTGAACAAAGACAAACACTGGAAAACATCCGGCCACAGCGCCTCTATTCCACCGCATCAGCCTGTGTATTAACCTTTAATGTAAGTCAAGCTTTTTTATGTGATGGTGTTTATCTTCTGGTGCAGTTCTCACCCACTAGGTTTTGTTTTCAACCTGTTTATTTGTTAAATTGTAGTTAGAAATTGTTTAACAATAGCATATTTCAGTTATTGCAGCCTTAGTGGATGTATGTGCACCAAATCGAGGTCTGCACAGGCTAAAAACTGTGATCTTAACTTGTTTTTAAGACATAATCTGACCAATAATGACGAATATTGTCAAAATTGACCCCTGAAATTATACTTTTGACATGATTTTGTCCATTACTGACTCTCAGCTAGCCTGTCTCTCCCTTATCTCACTGAAACTCTGCTTGTAAACACATGAAAGCAGATTATTTGCATGTGCACCAAATCAAGCTGTGCACAGGCTCAAACATGGCTGAACATGTTTTGAAGATATTACCTGACCAACAATGACTAATTCTGCCAATTTTCACCCCTGAAACTGTACTTTTTACATTATTTTGTCCATTACTGAGTCTTAGCTTGCCTGTGTCGTCCTGATCTTACTGGCTGTTCTGCTCATAATGCATAAAAGCAGATTATTTGCACAGTCAGACATAGAAAATGTTCCATTATAACTATAGCACACTTTGATTATTGTGCAGCCTTGGTGGATGTATGTGCACCAAATCCAAATGTGCACCAATAACGACTAGTTCTGCCAATTTTGACACCCAAAACTTTACTTTTTACATTATTTTGTGCATTACTGTCTCTTAGCCAGCCTGCCTCTCCTTGATCTCACTGGCTATTCCGTTTGTAATATGTAAAAGGAGATTATTAGTGGAGACATAGAAATTTTTATTTTAGAACTACAGCACATTTTGATGATTCTGCAGCCATGTGAGATGTATTTGCACCTAATCGGGTTCTGCACAGGCTCAAAACTGAGATGTGGACATGTTTTGTGGACATAATCTGAGCCCTGAAGCTGCACTTTTTACCATATTTTGTGCATTTCTAACTCCTAGCCAGCCTGTCTCTCGCTGATCCCACTGGCTATTCCATTTGTTAATGTGAAAACAGATCATTTGCATTAAGACACTGAAAAATCTGAGAACAAAATCAAGTAACCAGGCTAGTTTAGCTAGTAAAACTCTTGAGTGTTACCCAAACCCCATTTGTAAATCAGTTGGGTTACACTTTTGCAAGAATTAAGTTGTATTTAAAAATGTACTGTGATATTTTGGACAGACATGAGAAAATTTACCATATGCATAACCCTGACCACAGTTTTTACCAGTGCATTGTAAGTTTATGTTTAAAATGTGTGCTTGAGTCATATTTAACACGTTAATACGCAGGTTTTGACAGTGAACTGTGGCCAAAGTAAAGTCCTGACACGGATTTAATTTGAAATGCTTCTGCAAAATGTATACCAAGCAAACAATTAAATAAAAAAACAGCATTTAAATTATAATTCAGGTTCTCAGACAGCTCGTTCTGTGTTCTTCACATCCAAACTCCCGTCTTCTACCCCTGAGATGTCCCTTTGCTCCGCCGCGCCACGGCTGTTTGCCATCCGATACACCTTCAGCCTCTTTCTCGGCATCTTTATCCCCGTGGTGACGGCGGTGAGCGCTCCTCCTGGCTGGAATGCCGCGAGGTCGTGACTCGGGACAGCCGGTTGCTAAAATGATAGTTTTGACGGACAGTTTTCTCCTTGATCCCTCACAGCTGTCCGAGGAGGAGGAGGAGGAGGGAGTCTCCAGAGAACCAGCCCTCGTTTTCTTGTTGATTATCACAAATCTGGTGTTAGGAGAGGGACAGTTGGTCGGTGTGTATGTTTAGGCAGGAGGCATGTTTGAATCACTTTCCAAGAGTGAGAGAGGTTTTTTTTTTTTTTTTGTCTCAAATGAGGCTAAAAAAATGTTCCTCACAGTCAAATTTATCACCTCGGTTATGATTTAACCAGCAGGGACAGCATAAATATTTGTGAAATAATGATTTTCTTCAGTGTTAAAAGCTGAAATCCATGACCTATTTTTGCTTAAATATCATCTGCATGAAGGAGCGTTTTGTTGGACTCAGTGAGGCTCATTGCTCTGAGGAGTGACTTGTTACCTTCTGGATGACAATAAAACGCTGCAGGTTTCCAGTCATGGTTGGTACCTGCCTCTGATTTTTAGGTGTGAATTAAAACAATCAACTTTTTAATTCACCTTTTCACATTGTGCTCTATAATGACTATATATATATATTGAAATAACTTTGTTTGCAAAATAAGGGTCGTCTACGGCTGACATTCATTATAAAACAGTGCCCTCTTTGCAACAAATATCATCATTAATTGATGTCAGTCATTAATAGCAGTAAAGATTTATTCATTCTCTGTGTCTCAGAATGGACTAACTGGTCCTGTATTAGCTACTAGCTTGTTGTGTTGAGGAACAGAAAGGTCTGAAACAGAGGCATAATTTTCGTCTTCTGCTTATAGAAAAATGCACAATTATGACCACAAAGAAGTATTATTCAACTTGAATCTTTAAATCAAATCTAAATTAAATCCTTTAAAGTTCAATCAACAAATTCTGCTGACCAATTTCTATTTTATTGTTGTTGTTTTTCGCAACACAAACAAATGAATTCCTCTTATTTAATCTACACGTACCCATAGTCATTTTGTCCCTTACCAGCTAACAAACGATAGATGAACACGACCCCCTCCAGTATAATCAAGGTTTCTGCCTTGTTAACATGTCCACAATATGGTGTTTTTTTTTTTTTAGTATGTTGAAAGACACATCATGAGCAAAATAGGCAGGCATCCTGGTGGCTAAGATTTTCCACCTTTAAGCTGCAGTGGACCAATTATAGCCTCAAAAATACATACTTAGATTTCAAGGGATTTATATGTAACAAACTAATTCTGTCAACTTGGAGGGCAGAAATTTTCTGTATCATTAATCCACTAGACTCATTTTACAGCGTTTGAGCAGCGTTCTCAGTTAGCTGGTGCGCTCAAGCTGGTATAGAGTTAAATCAAAGTCGTTTTAAGGTGAGAAGGGATTATTTTAATGGAAAAAAACCTCTAAGTATGTAACTGTGTGAGAGTTTTAGGGTTAAATCAAGGGACCTCCTGATCAAGTCCTCTTAAATATAATCTCTGTCAATACAGAATTCCAATTTGATCCCATTTTTCAGGTGGATAGAAGTATAATAAATGAACAAATGTTTTTGTTTGACAACTGAATAGCTTTGTAATGTGAAAAAATGGCCATCTAAGCTGTTCTTCTATGTTATGTAGGTGGTCATGAACCTTGTTATAAAGCTCCAGAAGGACACTGTCTGCAAGGTGCGTTAGACAGAAGGTTGGCAAACAGGGATCATCATTAATCTAGCAATGGGCACCATGACAAAGACATCTGGGATGCTTTTTGACCTCCGACTAGAGCTCATGTGTTTTAGACAAGCCAGGATGAAATAGGACAGTTTCTTTTAAATCCCAGTGGCATATGTGGTCGAGTATGTTGCCTCAATCATGTCCACTGAATAAAATCAATTTGATGCTCAGTTTGTGGTATTAGTTGATCATTATTCTGAATTTTGAGATTGGATTTGGACCTTTTTTGGTTCAATCAGCAACCAGAGAGGAGCTTTAGTGTCAAAAATGGCCAGAAAGTTATGGATTTCAGCTTTAACAGCATTGCGTACAAACCTCGTACCCAAGTGATAACATAAAACAGGACGGAGTGTTGTTAACTGGAAACTCCCAACTATGATCGTCAGCAACGAAAAGCTCGATACCTGGCAGCCCTTTGAGGTTTTTTTTCTCACTTCGTAGATACCCGGAATGATTTGAATGTGATAAACGACCACTGTCGGTTTGTTGTCCTTTACTTTTATGTCCAACGTGTGCGAGCCTATCCAAACCTGTACTTGGGCCAGTACTTGACTTGCGTCCGTCTTGGCGCTGTTCCTGTGTGGACGCTTGCCTTTGGTGGGGCAGATTTGGCGGCTGCTGGTGGTGGCGGCGGCAGCGGGGTTTTCCTCCGTTCTTTGCTCCTGTCCGTGATGGTGAAGCCTCGCTCGGTCTTGTCGTGGAGGCCGACTCTGGGCAGGAAGTGCGTGGAGACGTGCTGGGATTTGACCCGCGGGCTGGAGCCCATTTTGGCTTTTCCTCTTTTATTGAGGGCCACGAACCACTCGCGACCAGTCCTGTGGTTTCTGTGGATTACTGAGGCGTAAGTGTTGTAGCTGTTCTCCTGGAAGCGTTCCCTGAACTTACAGTCTTCTGTGAACCATTCCTGCAAGAGAAGGGAAATCCAAGGAGTTAGCTCGTGCTGCTGTCACTTCAATCGTCTTTACTTTAGCTGAACTCAACACTGCATTTCAATGGCTTAGATCAGTCGGTGAGCCTATCTGTCATTAACAAACCTTTAAATCTGCTGCACGTTTCATTTCTGAGGACACGATACTTGATCTGTCCAAATACAAACAAGACCAGAGGTTGAACCTGTGGGAACTCCTACCATGTAACCGAACCCAGTGACTCTCGTTAGCTGCTGCTGAGATAATTGTGTTTAAGTCGGGGAAAGAAAAAGTAATGGCTCAGATTCTTCATCTGGCAGCCGACCTCTGCCACCTTCTCCCAGTGATGCAACTTTATTTCCTTGTTAACACTGATTAGACACAGGAGCACACACACATACGGATACAGACGTGGACATACTGTGAGAAACTCGTGTGATTTTCTAAATGAATGTGTTTCATTTCTCTGCAAAGTAGGTATGATGGTGCAAAAGTGAGTTAGTCTTTTTGTCAGCATTTGCAGTGGGCTGTGCTGCAGAGAACACCTTTGTGTTATCGAGTGAAAATGTTTTTAAATAAAAAAGACGTGAGCAGGGAGGATTTAAGTGACTCACAGCAGCAGATCAGGGAGGGCTGCAGCAGTAATAAGACAGAGCTGGATCACTTTTGTAATACGATGATCACAACACAATCCAGAGTGGGAAAACAAACGCTTATCTTGGCGTCGGGTTTCAAAGTCATCTACGTGACTTTCCTTATCTCAGAGATGCTTTGACTGACAGCAGCAGAGTTCCCTTTGTACCGGTCAGAAACTCATTACAGCCTGTGTGTTACATTAATCCAAGGACAACCTCTAAACACACACACACACACACACACACACAGCGACTGGTGTTTTTCTGATCGTGTTGTTACAACATCAGAGGGTTATTCTATTTGACCGTGTTCACTGCATCTGGAGGCCGTTTGTTGAAGAAATGTGAGGTATTTAATAAATAAATATGTTCAGAAATATCACCAGCTGCTGTAAGAATGAATTATAATATCTGGTGTATATGTGTGTGTGTGTGCATGACTTGGGTTAGACAATGTTGTGACACCTGAAGGTTCTCAGAGGATGAGATCAGATTTGGCTTTTGCATCCGTGATGCTGTTGATGCCAGTCTTAATAACAGTAATTATATTAACTTTATTTAAATAGTGCCCTTAACAACAAGGCAGTGCATGGACAGGATAGCCAGAAGACGCCATAACTCAGTTAAGGTGAAGTTAAAACAAACAGGCTACAATATGCTACTTTTATGAATACAAGTAAAACAATGAAACCTTCACTGTCAAGTTAAGTCAACATAACATAGGTCGCACATTTTAAATAACAACCATTGAACCAAAGTTCCTCTCAGTAGAGAAATAAGATTGATGAGAAGAACTTACCGAACAAGTTTACATATTCAGGTTTAGAACCTACAATATTAGGAATAGTGCAGATTTATCAGACTAATTTATATTCTCTATATATGCAAAGTATAGAAGTGGATTCAGTTGCTTCCAACACTGTTGACCATGTTGTGTTATTGTTTATAATATTCCAACAAACTATGATAATGTAGTTTGGCTGCAAGACAATCAGTGGTGGAAAGTGACTGATTACATTTACTTTAGTATCGAAACCCAACCAGGCATTTCAGAATTTGTTCCACAGATGAGCTGTACATTGGACTGTATCAGACAAGAATTTATCGGCTCATAGGTGGAACCAAACCTAACAAACTGAAATGAATTGTCTAATATGTCAAAGATTGATCAAAGCATTTTCTAACTGATCGGTATCAGCACAAACCTCAGCAGGATCATTTGTTTACATCTGTGGTCATACAGGTGTCATAAAGGTAAAGAAAAATCTGTGGCTGGATGGTAGGAATGCAAATTTAAAATAATTTTCTCAACTAACAATCACTGACGAGAGTTGATTAATTGATTACACAAATTCAGCACATTGGACTCTTTTGTCCTGTGTTGCAATTGGTAGTTTAATCAAAAGACACCTGATTTAGATCAGAAAGGTTACATAAGAACGCTGTCCAAGTCGATCGCAGCTTGTTTTAAACATTCGAGTTCTGTCTAGAGGTCATTAAGCAACACGGATGTCTTAGTCATGGTGACCAGTTGCTAGCTAATAAGCTAATTATCAGTTATCAAGCATAAACATTGTATTGATTTGATAACTTTAATGTATTCAAAGTGTGGAACTTCTAGGAATATGCTATCATATTACCGTAAGTCCAAATGTTTTACATTCTGCAATGCCACATTTCAGAAATGCAGATATTCTTCGAATGTTCCCGTTTTGTGCCTAAAAATACCCCGGGTGGGAAACTTTGACGTGTACCCAGGGATGCCTGCTTTCCTCGCTGCAGTATGACTTCCTTGCATAACCTCCTGCCATTCTGAAATAAAACAAACTGTTCTGCTTTGCTGAAGAGTGCAGCATAGCAGAAAATGATGCCATTACAGCGTTCGGTAAACATGCCAGTCACAGGAGAGCGCTCTGCGGCCGCGGCACGACAGCGCAAACCTTTAAGTTATTCAAAGTGACCCACTGTTCCTTGTGGCTGTTGTTTTTTAAAGATGATTAGGAAAACTGTACGGAACTCGGTGCAGAGCCGCCGCTACGGGTGGAATGAAATGAGTTAACAGAACGCAACATACCAGCTCTGGTACCAGTCGGGGAATTACACGTTTGGAAACAAATCCACTGGAGCATGTATGAGTGTACCCACACACACACACACACACACACACACACAAGCATGCATACCAGGAAGAAGCTTTGGCCCCCGCTGTGCTTCATAGGCTTTAATAGCTGCAGCCAGATTCCAGAGATCTTATTGTTAAAATCATAATGCTTGTACAGCTGTTTAACCTGGCTCTTGCCCTGCTGGATTGGTCACACTCTTTTAAAGGGACCTTTCCCATGATCCTCCAGCTTGGTTTTTTCATTTTGCAAGTAATATTTCTTCACTGAGACGTCCTTTTTTTTTGTTTGTTTTGTTACTGCAGCTACAGACGCATACAAAAACTACTTTATTAATTCAAGTTTGGTCTCGTTCTGGTCTGATTCACAAACACTTCGTGGACTGAGTTGTAAGTCGGTAGCAGAAAAACGTTTAAAACTCTTACCTTCTTTCTACAGAAATGCTTGAAGGAAAATGTGCAAAATGATGCTTATGTTACAAAAAGAAAGAAAACACATCTATAAAGCAAAACCAAGAGCTGACAGTTGTGCCGATGGCACTATGAAACACCAGGTCAGCACAGTTATTGCCATGCATCAAGAGAGCAAAAATGAATATCTGTCTTTGGTATAAATGCAGCAAAGATGTAAAAGTAACAGTCACTGCACAGCTGTAGATTTCAGATGTGATGCAGGAGACACGTCCTTGTGTTTTTTGTGTGTCTTTATTGTGTAAATGTAGAAATTTCCACCGTAAACTGATGCAGAAAAAAATTGGTGCCTAACAATCCACCAGAATGCAGCAAATTACCCAAACCAAAAGCCTACACCTATGCAGGAGGTGACACTGTGAAGCACCAGGAGATGACCAACGTTACTGGATTTCATGAAGGTAGAAACGCTTGCTTCAAAGATGCAAAAGAAACTGTGACTGTAATAGCTGTAGATTTCAAGGGGGATGAAGGGGATATACTAAATCCCTTGTGTTTTTCTTGTGTTTTCCTTACACAAATGAAGAAATTTCAGAATAAACTGATGCAGAAAAGGAACAAATTAGTGCATAAAAATCGACAAGAATGCAGCAAATTAAGTGTTTGATGCTCATAATTTCCTGAAGTGGACGCCCAGTTGTGCTCAGATCAAGTATTCAGATCAAATCAATGCTTAAGACGTACAGAAATCCAAAACATAACCAATAAAATCGGGATTGTCTGCAGCTGCGTGGTTCAATTCATCGGATACTTCTGTCTCCATCTCTACCTCCCCTCCCGTCGCTCGCTGTTTGTTCTACAAATGTAGGTGACCCTTTCACCTTTCGGTCGTTTACGTTTGCAATAGCTTGCTGAGCGCGTCATGCGGAGCAATGTGCATCTGTCCTCTCGTCCATTATCTGGCAAATAAGCTGCCACTGTGAAAACATCTAAATAGGAAATATGACAGACGATGCAACAGGATAAGCTTCAGGACGTCACCTGACACCCGGCAGCGAGGCCCAAGCCCGGCCGAGGCCCCCGACGTTTACATCCAGCCCAAATCGTTGCGGCGGTTAAATAGCAGAGTGCAGCTGTAGCCACAGATTGGAGTTTTAGTTGTGCAAATATCTCTCTGAGGCAGAGCCGCTCCGGAGGCAGAAATAAGCTCAAAACGAGGACAAGTCTGTCGAAGCGAAGGTATCTAACCCTGCGCTACCAAGGGTCATAATAACACTCTTAAATGTGCTGTATATTTAAACTGCCATCTAGGTGGTAAAAATACAACAGAGATAAATGTGAGATATCGGCTTCTAAAGGCTGCAAAGTGCTTAAACATACAAAAAAAAAATCTTAACTCTGTCGTTCTTAGCGATCGGAGTTGGTTCTCGTTGAGCAAACTTCATCCAGCAAGAAAAGCCGCAAGATGTGACTGAAAGTTCTGCAAAAATCCAGTGAGCGAGTGGACCGTTAGCCTTCAGGTTCTTTCAAGCAGCTGTTATCCAAAGTGAAGAATGTTTTGATGATTAACCTGCAATCATCATGTCCAACACTGAAAATACTGTAAAAACTCAGAGGCTCTACATTCTATAAATATTTTACTACTGACACTTTTATAACCTCTACAAGCTAGACTCTGCACACCAGCCCTAGAAACATGTTTCACCGTGTTGAATGTATCTTCCAACAACTTGCTCGACTGTTCACTGTTTCTGAGCCATGCTGAATTCATTTTATTGCTCAAGTATGTTTTTTTTTTTGGTTTTTTTTGCTCCCAGCTTTTAACATCCAT